GTGAAGACGGTGATTGATCTTCTCGGGAAGGGCCAAACAAGGGGCAACGGTCAACCAGCAGTTGTTTTGGATCTGTGAAACCTCGGCAGACTCTTTTCTCAATACTTTGACAAGCAACTGCATCCGAATCCAGTGCAGGGACGTGTGTACAGTTGTCGCTGTGCGACTGTGGTTGCTGTTGTTGGTCAGGTCATTCGGCACATTTTGGCGGAATCTTGGCTGGTTTCAATTTTCTGACTTGAATGAAATCATCCGGTCCAGTCCTACAAAGCAGCCGTGGGTCAGGATACCTCTCCGGCTTCATCTTGGGCAGCTGCCTTGTATTTTGCCTGTTTTCTGGGGAACTTGTCCGGGTCCGCAGCCGGATGTGTCTGCCCCGAGGAATAGTTGTTGGGCGAAATCTGGACGAGGAGGAAGCTGCAGAGCATGCGACGTCGACACTCATCTCGAAACAAGGGCGGATGAGGGCAAGTCACTGATGGCAAGGGTGTGCAAAGACAAGTGAACGCCATTCGTGCTGCTGTCCTTCGCAAGGTTGAAGTGCGAGAGACGCGTTCAACGAGTCATGCTTCTGTTGGGTTGCTTGGTTGCAAAGCTGCCTCAGCGCCGCACGGAGCTGCCGTGGATGGAGAGAGGAGGGAACAGTAGAAGAAGGCAACAGTAGTGGTGTTGATGATACTGGCGGTCTGCAGCTACGGCCGGAGAAGTAGTAGTAGTAGTAGTAGTAGTAGTAGTAGTAATCAGTAGTAGTAGTAGTAGTAGTAGTAGCAGCAGCAGCACCAGCAGTAGGAGTAGTGGTAGTGGTAGTAGTGGTAGTAGTGGTAGTAGTAGTAGTAGTAGTAGTAGTAGTAGTAGCAGCACCAGCAGTAGGAGTAGTGGTAGTGGTAGTAGTGGTAGTGGTAGTAGTAGTAGTAGTAGTAGTAGTAGTAGTAGTAATAGTTGTCGTTGTCGTAGTAGCAGTAGGAGTAGTAGTTGGTCGTAGCAGCAGCAGGAGGAGGAGTAGGAGGAGGAGTAGTAGTACTGGTCGTCATCGTCGTTGTCGTCGTCATCGTAGTAGCCGTCGTAGTAGAAACAGGAGGGGCACCAGCACTCGCAGAAATGAGAGCAGCAGCAGCACTCGATGCCAAGACTGTTTGGTCGCTGCAAGGCTTGGTTCTGCTGATTTTCGCGCTGGTCTGGGTGGCGCAGTGGCCACCCAGGACATTGCATAAACATTTTATGCAGTTTAAAGTTATGCATACACAGTGCATTTAATGAGACCAGCCCACAATGTTGGACTGTGCCCATACATGCATGCATACCTGCCTAATTACCTCCTACCTACCTACCTACCTACCTACCTGCTTGCCTGCCTACCTACCTACCTATCTACCTACCTACCTACCTACCTACCTACCTACCTACCTCCCACCTACCTTCCTACTTACATACATAAGCCACATACATACATGCATACATACATACATACATACATACCCACAAACCTACACACGCACACGTACTTACATAACCACATATGTACAAACACACGGTACATAGGTACATACGCACATACATACATACATACATACATGCATACATAAACACATGTACAGTCATGCATGCATGCATGCATGCAGCAAAACTACATACATTGACGTATTCAGGAGTGTGGCAGGCACACATCACTCGATTTGCAGAGCTGGTGGTATGTGATGTGTTTCTACGCTCAAAGCAGCCCCAATCGGATATGATGGCCGGCAAAACAGAAACCCAACAACGAGATGCCGGGCGCCAAACCCCAACGAATGGTGGTCACTACCCGTGTGATGGGGGGGCTCACCGCAAAACGAGACGGCAGATTGCAACCCTAAAGCCTGAAAGCAGGGTGAAGCTCAAAGACTGAGCCTGAAACCTTTAAAAGCCATGATGAGTGGCAAAGACTCAGCCTTAAAAAGGAGAACTATTGGTGCCCCAAACAATACCTTACAGCAGATGGAAACCCTAAACCCTACACCGCTTTGGTGGATGACAGCCTGGCTTTTGGGGTTTCGGGCCTCGGTTTGCCGTGTCTCATCTCCCTTCTTTGGAGGTTGTAAGGGTTTAGGTGTAAGTTCCTGGGTTGAATTTTGGGAGCTATTACGGGTTCAGGGTTTGCCCCCACATCGCACAGCCAAATTTTTAGGGTTTGGGGTGCGCAGCCCTCAATCTCTTTTCTGGATCATAACGGTGATGGTGGTGCTGATGTCACGACCCATCATCTATTCGTAGGATTTGGTGTTGTTGAAACCATGCATCCCTGCTAGGGCTCAGCCACTTAGCCCCTCAGCTTTTCTGGAAATCACCCAGTCTGAGGTGTTGGGATTTGATGCCCATAACTTCCTTCAGAGGTTTTGGGTTAAGGGTCCAAGGGGTTGGTTGGACATGGGCATGCTTGCATTGTTAAGGTTTGCAACACATCATCTCTCTTTGGAGGGTTTTGGCACCATCTTCCTTCAAGATTTCGGGCTTAGGGCTATTATACGTCATATCTGATAAGGATTTGAGATACCTGGGTGCCAGTCACGTCTTTTGAGTTTGGGGATTGCCATCCACCATCTCTTTGGGGTTCTGGCATCGCACGTTCTACCAGGTTCTAGGGTTTTGGCGGCCCAGTCACCCGTTCTAAGTGTTGGACTTTGGTATCCACTTTCAAGGACGTTGCTTCTTGACAAGTTGCAAAACAGGCACAAGCTTCAACAAGCAAGACTCAAGTCTTAAGGTCCTGCAGCTGAGTTCGGCTCTTGATCCTTCCTAATTGCATGTTGATCTCGGTGGGGGTGTGCACAGATTCCAGCTTCCTTGTGAGGCTTCTTGCGTCACCGTGAGGCTTCTTGCGTCAGGTATGCACATCGCAAGCTTCCAGATGGCAAAATCAATGAAGATCAAACTTGGAACCCCACTTGCGAGAGATTCATCATGGAGGGGCTGCGACATGATTAGTGTGGGAAGTCTTCATCTTGCCAGTATGTCTTTCGGCCCGGATCCACGATGCCCGCACTGTGCAGAAATGAGTACTCGTTGCAAGAGCCGGACGAGAGGGCACGGCGTTTTATTTCTGCCGCACAGCTACAGATCCATCGTTTTTTCACAGCTTCCGGCATGTCCGTGCTGATGCTCAGCACTGTGACTTCAATCATTCGGGGCAGCCCTTGATTATGTTTTTTCTGTGCGTTTTGCAGCTGAACTTTCACGCTGCATGCATTACATCAAGGCCGCCATAGGCCCCATAACATGAATAGCATCAGTCGTACCACACTTGTGACCCGATTCCAAAGGGTACGTGTAGCATGTGGCTTTCATACAGTAGGCAATGTGTCCCAGTTCTGCTTTTGCTGTGCCTGAATTCACGGGCACAGTGCAATAAACAAGGAGGTCAATGTATAAAGAAGAAAGGGAGTCACGTTCACATCTCTGTGCTTGTCCCTCGCTCGCTCGCTCTCTCTCTCTCTCTCCTCCGCTCCCTCCCTCCCTCCCTCCCGCCCTCCTTCCACCCATTGGTGTGTTAGAAACCTCCCGACAATTTTTTCGGGCGTCAACCGCAAACATCGAGAGGTCCCTCACAAGCAAAATCGTCGCGTGGTTCTTGTCTGAAAAGGTGAGCAGCAGGGATCCGCTCTCAAAATCTACATGTGGGGTGGGTACCGCGCATCCGAAATATGTCTTTGCATGTCTAAAAAGATACTGCATATGGCGTCCATCCATATCATGATTCTCTTTTGGGATTTCTTCACCAGGCCAGTTGTCCTGCTTCTTCAGGACCCTCTACGACTTGACTCCCTGGTGCTGGCACCGGCAGGTATTCAATCAGTGAGGGCCTGAGGCGTTTGATCACCGTCTTGAACTGCTTCAGACCCTTTGAACCTGTGAACTGCAAGAGCTGTCATCGAGGACTTTGTTCCCAGAGTGGCTTGGCAGCAAGAGTCATATTGATCAAGTCTGGGATGCGTAGAGGTCTGCAGCGCATGCTGCGAGTACAATTCTTGTCCATTCTACATGCTCAGGTTCAGCTTCCACTGCGTTCGCTGCAAAGATGCCGAATGCATCAACGAGTCACGGGCCGAGCGTTTACTGTCGGACTGTCGGTGTATAGCTCATAGAAGAAAATCGTCGCATGATGTAGCACGGCCCACGAGGTTTAGTCAGATGAACTTTGTGGAGGAGGCACGAGATGCAATTCAGTGGAAAGGATTGCCATGACAAAGAAAGCGCAGCTGCAGAAGTGTGGAGCCAGGTCAGCTTTCGGGTGTGTGCAGTCACCGGCTGGAGATACAGTGCCCTGGCTAAACTAGAGCGGAAAGCTCGCACATCCCTCTTGCGAAATGACTGGCCAGGTCAGGTGAGGCTTTGAGCAAGAGCTCGAACTGAGGAAAGCCAGCTGCACACGAAACGAGTAGCGCTTTTGTTTACACGAGCCCCAACAGGACAGGCGGAGTAGCCAACATGGGTAGCAACAGCGTGCAACTGTTCCAGCCGAATTTGGAACGAGACCGAAAGGATCTCGCTCGCCAGCAGCAAAGCTAGTGCCTGGCATGAACAGTCTGCGCGATGCGGCAAGCTGTTCTAGGCCTTCTCGTGTTTCATGCCGCTGAGTTCATAAGATCTTGGCGGAACTGCAACTGCCATGACCCAGCAGGAAAGACGCGCTTTCTGGTTGCAATATGAGGCCAGGCCCAGGTCCCGCAGATCCCGAAACAACCAAGGGCCAAAGTTGGAGCCTTGGTATGCTGTCCCTCGTGTTACGGTTCGAGCACGCCGTTCAGCACCCCCTTGAAGTCACCAACAACAGGATTGGAGGATCACAGGCACAGGCCGGAGTGCATCCCGTACCGAGCAAGTGCGGCGAATTTCGGCTCGAGCTTAATTAGCGACAGAAAGCTCGCAACCTCCCTAACAGTCGTTCGGCTTTAGCTTAGGGTAGCCGGAGGCCACATCAGCACCGAGCTATTGCATGTACCGTTCACCGTCTGTCTTCGCGAGGCATGGCGAGCACCAAGGGACCCATGTTCATTCCCATCCCGCCGGGCCTGTCGCGTCACAGCTCCTTTGATGGATACAACGACGATTTTGCTCTGACTCTGCCGGCATGCAAGCGTCAGGTTCCATGTCGGAGCTGGGGCCTGAGCTTAAGAGGGGGCACGAGCCTTGCAGTGGCATTGCTTGGTTTTCTTCGGAAGGAGTTTGGCCTTCTATCCACCACCTGGACTCCCGTCCCCACCGTCCCCACCGATCGCCTTCCCAGGAGCCCTGTCGCCTGGAACGTAAGATAAGTTTGGACACAGCTCGCCAGGAGAGATGCTCCGCGCTTTCGCGCACGCACAGCCTGCTGAGCTCCCAGCACTCCCAAACCTGACGTGGCCATCTCCGCAGAGCAGCTTTCCTAGGCGATCATCGAGCTTGCTGGCCGATGCACAGGCCATGCAGCGGGTTGCGTCTCTTGCTGGCGAGTCAGGCTGTGTACTTGTTATCGTGCTCTGTTCGTGTTGGAGTCTTGGCTTGCTACGATGCCAGCATTCTGAGCATTTGGGCGTTGTCCCTTTTGTTCTTGTTTTCGCTTTTGGGTTCTGCTTTGTGATGTTTGTTTGCACCCGGCTTTCACTCCACGCTTCTGTCGTGGCCTCTGTTATTGTCGCCGAATCCGTGCCTGCGCGGGTGGGGTGGGTGGGGATGGGTGGACCATGAAGCCGAATCTCGAGCATGTTGACTATTGCGTGGTCAACAGTGGCACCGCAGTACATAGCGACATAGCAGTTGCCAAGAGGATGCTAGGATGCTTGAGACGTGTTACCTGTTTGAGATCGAATCAGCGCACAAGAATCATGATCCGCCACTTGCTGGCCGGTTCCGAAGCAAAGATGACACCCCACATTGAAAACAGAAGCTTTCCACAAAGATGTGGATGTTGAAGGACGGGGACCACTCAACGCGACGATCACTGATTGTGTCATGCAATGTTCTCACTGGCAACTTGTACCAGGTGCTCAGGTGCTTGAAGAAAAGAGCTCCTGCACGTCACAGCCAGACAGTCTTGGAACCAGGCTCACTCTTGCGCTCCCCACCCCGGTATCGTAAATGGCTCCTTGCCTCCAGGTGTTCGACGGACGAGCCTGGCACCCCTCCAGCCCCTCCGACACCACTGTCAGAGGCTGCCGACCCAGAGGCCTCACCCAGCAGCATAGAATTCGACCATTCGCAGATATCGGGTGGTACAGGTGGCCAGAGGTGCCTTGAAGCCATGGTCCGCAGCCCAGACAACCAAAAGGGAGGTAAGAGCTTCGGTCACCCTCGCTCGCTGAAGACGTTTTCTAAAGTCCGGTTGCCTCTGCTTGCACTTCAGGACTCTCGAAGATGGGGGCGTAGAGGCACAGAAGCACTGCACGCATCCGCACACTGCATCCGAGTAGAGTGCGAATTCTTGCGAGGCAGTGATGGAGTGGTGGCCTTTAAATCAGACCTCGAGACAAAATTGCATGTACGTCGTTGGCACGCTGAGGCAAGCGGACGAAGCCGAGTTGGAGGCCGCCCTGGAGCCGGTGCTGAAGGAAATCCTGTCCCAGGAGCCCAGCGTTTAGATGTCTCCTTCGATGTGCCCTCCTTCGTTGCAAGTGCACCAGGACAAACAGAAAACCAAGGACCATTGCTGAATTCAAAGGTTCTGGCCCCTGCGACTTTTGCCACAGTCTACTGCTAGGAGAAGCCTGCAAACGGCAATGCCGGGGCCTGAAATCGAGCGCCAGGAATGTCTTGAGTTGTTTTTGAGCTGCTGTCCTTTCACAGGTGCGCTGGTGGACCCGTCCCTCTGCTCCATTGCTTTGCCCCCTGTCCGGCTTTCCAACTTGCTTATTGCTGCTTGGTCGCCAATATCGCCTTCATCTGCCCGCGAACATTCGGAGTCCATTGGGTCTTGAGGTCTGGACACGTGAACAAAATGCCGGCGTAGTTGGAGACATGACACGGACGGACAAAGCGTGTATTTAGTATTTTCATCACCTGCATGTCAGTTCATGGCATGGAGTTGGGCAACAGGGGGAGGGCGCAAAAAGGGAACAATGGAAAGATCAGCACAACCCTCACATGAGCCTGCTGAATTGAGGCCTTACCCGCCCTTCAAGCTTCGTGTGGACCCAACGCGGTCGGCGCCACATCGCTTGGTGGACGGCAAATACCTGGCAATGACATGTGCCTTACCAGAAATGAATAGAAACAGTACCATGCCCGTGATATTTAAAGCATCAATCGGTAAACCGTCAGAATACATGAGCGTATGATGCATTAGCGGCATGTTTAAGATAGGTACAGCACAGAGCTAAAAGGTTTCCATGACGGACTGCTACATTGATGTCTGGTGGATGATTTTCATGGTAAAGTCATACCGTGTAACATAATGATTGGCAAAGTCGCGTAAAGTAAAGCATGGTGAATAGAAGTCTAGTAGCATTCAGCCGTAGACTGTGAAGCACAGTACAGGATGCTATCAGATGCATACGATCTCCTTCAGCCCTGGATGCTGCGGTCCCGAAGGCATTGTCACCGGACGGTTTGTGGCCTGTGGGCGTGAGCTTCAGGCTGGTGTGCCTCTCTCGATAGTTCGTTTCCCGTGAGCGCGTACCTCTCCTGCAATCTCGCTGATATCAGATTACAAGATGTGCTTTGGCTGCAAACTTTTTCACCACGTTTCTACAAGAGAGCCGGATAGCGTAAGTCCCTAGGCTCAGATATGTTCAGGTTGTCCAGCAATGCTTCGCTTGATGTAAGATGCTGTGAAATGCCGCATGTCCTGCAGACCTCCGACATTAGTGCCCTTGACGACTACATTCACCGCTGTGGCAAGCTCAGTTGTCACGGAGCCAGTAGCCCCACATCTTTGCAGAACTTCCCTATCGTTGTTTTCCATGCTGACATAGAAGCCGTTCGTGTTCTTGACACACACAGGCAAGCTTGGCCCATATCGTCCTGGCCGTGCAGTGGTGTTGATGCAGCAAGCTGCTTCATCGCCAACGGCGGAACAACGTGACAGCGCCACACAGGCAGTGGAGTGAGTGGACGCAGAGAGGCATCCACAGGCTGTCTATCCCACTAGAAACGACTGAGAGATGTCCATTTATCAAGTAGCAATCATGATGCGAGCAGAAGCAGGCAAACAACACGCACTCCTCCTGTTGAAGCATTGGAGTGCTTGTAAGCTGGTTGGCCGTTATCCAGACTTCGTATATTTCTCAGACGCGTATGCAGTATGCTTCATGTGCCGAACATCATGCAGCACGTGGTTGACACCGAGTCGAGCCACCCATAAATGCTTTGTTCTTACCACCATGCTGAGCTCCACGCATTGGCCTTGGATTTACTACTGGCCTGTGATTTGGCTAGCATGTGCCCGATTGATTCAGATGCATGAAGCGTTGTGCAGGAACTTGAGCGCTTTGTTGCATCAGCTCGCGCCGAGCTGGGAAAGGTGCGTCGAATCCAGGCACGGCTCGCAATTCAAAGCACATGGCTCCGGTTAGCATGGTAAGACAAACGTGGTTCTGTGTCGGTTCAACCTTATGAGCTCAAGTCCGGACAGTCCAGATTGGGCCATGTAACCTTCAAGCTGTGAACCCACCAGTGACTCACTCACTGTGTCACCTGTGCAATCCGCATTTAAACTTAAAAGTGCCTTTTTTTTGCAGACAGCGACGCTCTGTGGTTCGGGCACAAGCAAAGGTCTCGAGGAACACACTTCTGATCCGCTCGAGTACAAAAGCTGGACAGGCTCCCGCCCGCGTGGATGCACACAGATCTGACGCGCGATTTACTCACGTCTTTACGCAGAAGGAACCAGGTTTCAAACGAGTGGCCTTCAATCCTGCCACGCGACACTTGCAGCAGCTCGGGGCCCGGGTCGACAGCCCCAAAAGTCAGGAGATTTTTCCATGCAAGCTAACATCCAGGATTCGATCAGCAGCTACCCATTCCCCGAAAAAAGCTTCCTTGAAATCATCAGGGGTTGACCCGGTGTTTTGGTTTCAAGATCGCACACTGGTGAAGTGGTGGATGTGAACGGATGCACTCTAAGAACTGGCTAGTCTGGACAAGCGAGGGTGTACCATGGATGTCCATAAATGCAAAAAGCTTTCGGTAAATCCAGACGCACTCCATGTCGACACCCCTTTGTTTAGACCAGTGTACACTACACTTACTAGGACAGGCTGAGGGTTTGTGGTTTTTCAGTCCCAACCTGGCGAAGCTAAAGTTCGACGCAGCGAATCCAGCTTTTGAGTTACGGCTCAGAGCCGAACCGAAGCCGAAACAGAGAGAGCTATGCTGCGGCTTGCTTCCTGGTTTTTCCGAAGAGACCCTCGACGAGCCTTTTCGATTTGTGGGAGATGCAGGCCTTCTGGCAACGCTAGTGCTAATGGGTTCATCGTTTGCTAAATCGTTTCAGCATTGGAAAGACAATCACCTCTGCAAATTTCCCAATCCAAACCAGCGGGTTTTGAAAGGTGGATGGATTAAGCCGCATCGGAGCAGGAACACGCAAGGCACAGCAAAGTGGTCTAACAAGGCTGCTCCCAGGTTGAGTCGTTCTCCCAGAGCGGCTCAGCTTCCAGGTCGTCTGTTCGTATCGAGATGTTGCCATAGAGAGGGATGCTCATCAAGCCATCACGTTGGCTGAAGTTGTTACTCGCCTCCGAGTCCGAACTCGAGAATTGCGAGCTTGTGTTAATGCGGATTTTCGCCAGGAGAATAGGCTTACGCAGATCCAGCAGGTGGGTATCGCAGCTGTCGTTGTCTGGGCTTCATGTTCGTACTTCATGTGCTTTGCCATTGTCTGGCGAGGCCTTGCCTACACACCTTCAAAGTGCTATCCGCTTCCCAACCCAGGCGTGGGCAGACCTCGCCTGGCGACTAGAGTTGATGTCTGCTGTTGAAGTCCAGGAGGCTTCGTCGGCATTGCCGGAAGCAAAGGGCAGGCAGTGCCGGGTGCGAAGTTATGATGACACATGTCAGGGCTGCATGTGCATGGCCCAGCCGAAAAGAACGCTGCTGCCTCGTAGGCGCCCGCCAGCATTTTCGACGGGAAGTGTTTCCACTCGTGCAAGCTTTTCAAGTCCGCCGCTTAAATCTGTATGCTGCAGTATCACGCACGAGGTTATGCAGAGAAGCCTGCTTGGCAGGCGACTGCAGCCTCGCAGACGCTCCGGAGGGCTGATTCGTAGTATTTCGTAGTAGTGCGGGAAGAGCATAGATCTGAGTCAACGCTGACGAGGCTACATGACTGAACTTGTCAGGTTATAAGTGGAAACAGGTAGTAGAGCTTTCCCGATAGTTTTGCCTGGCTTCGTTGACATTATTCAACATTTCACGACTACGTGATCCTTGTGCAGCCTGCAAGAGGATTGCAACTCTGAGTTGCCGACCCCGTTGTTTCGTTGGGCACCGAGGAATTGCAAGCCTCAGCAGAAGATTCAAGTGTAGGATCGGATCCACAAGCACAGCCTGATCCACGCCTCGCTCGTTTGAGGAAACTTTTGTTTCTAAGTGTTACGACGTGAGATCGCGGCTATGTCTTATGGATCGACTCAAACAGTGTCGCCCTTTTGGCGATATACACGTTGCTGCGAAGCAAAGTGCCCTTGACAATTTGATACAGTTCGTGCTCGGAAAGCTGACGTGGTGAGGCTCGAGGAGGCCTTCTTTGGTTCGAGACTCCTGCATGCTCGGCTGAACTGAGATGTGAATAATTCTCTGGCGTACTGCGCGAAGAGTTCGAAGCGGTATGGCCAACTTCGGAAATTTTGACGCGCATTTGTAGTCGGAGCTGTTTGCTCACAAGCTCGTGGGCATGCTCCCGGATGCGCAATGCCACCGTGCGATGTCCAAGTGTCTGCGTGGAATGACCGAGCAGTCATCGAAGAGGCTACCGAAACAGGTTACACATTGTGGAGCATAAAGTCTAAGGAAGGGACACTGTTCATAGTACAGATTGGACACTGGGTGGGGCGAATGACTGCGAACACTTCCAAGCATCCTGAAAGCAGCCGGTACAGTGCGGGTGGCCATGAAAACGATGTGTGTTGGCATTGGCCACTCATTGGCTGTAATCGGTTCCCGCTAACCAGGCTTGCTTTCCTTTCCATTTTGAGGGAACCAGACGTGTGGCAGCGTTTGTGATTTCTGCCGCTGAAGGCTGAGTCGCGGCAGTGCTTCGACATGTGTCAGCACTCCAGCCAGACGCAGTTCGCGGCTTTGAAACCATGGGTGTACGCTTCGCGGCTTCCGAATCACCATCTTAAATGATGATAAGTTGATATGGAAAAGCCGCCAAACGCAGGCCTGTGATCGCGTGGCTGAGCAGCCGAGTGTTCTGGCTTCTTGGGGCACCATGCTTACAATCGCCTATTTTGTCGCACTGCCACGACATCATTCTTTTGCAGCAGTGGCGGTTTCAGAGAGGGGTGGCCTGTCAAAGACTCCCTTTCCAATTTTGACCGACCGCAGCGAGTCACCGAACTGCATAAGAGGGGCGACTCGTTGCCAACTGGCCTTTGTCAGAAGCAAGTTGTCAAATCAAGCTGAGTCTCGGTTCTGTTAGGTTCATAGAAGTTTACCGCTGAGGAGGGCTGGTACTCATCAAATTCATGCATCCAGATGCTCTTGCAGCTGATGTTGAATCCTTCAAGATCAGACATCAGTCCCTGAATTTACAAATGTCAGCCACTGCATCGAGGAGGAAAATCTGAAGGTTTGGTGCAGTGGAAACTAGTTTGGCACTCGTAGTCTGCCTCTGCGTAGTAGGATTGGCCGAGGTTGTTGTCTGCCCTTGCTGTCCCAGTGCTGTTCCCGTCGAAAGCTTTCACCTCGCTCTCGCAGTCGACACATGTAATCGGGCAGACACGTCGGTTCTACATGCTGGTCTGTGTTCACTGTGGTTCGGCTACGGCTCTCCCAGACTGCGCCGACATGAGGAATATTCCTTGCCAGGTCTGTGAGGTATGTTCTTTAAAGATATGTTTTGAATAAAGCTATGTGCTGATATTTGTATTGACAGATTTTGGCTACTGTTTTTGCGAAGCACGAAACCGTAAACCTCAGTCGTTTCAGCTGCGCATACTAAACGGTCACGAATTCCATAATTGCAGGGAAATACAAATAGTCCTCCAGCTAACTTGTTGCTACGGAATACGGGGTAGTGGAGGGACGTGAGTGAAGATTCTACGAATTATTCTTGTTTTCAAGATTTGGGATTTAAGAGGGGTAGAGATTAAATTCTAAAAATTATTTTAATTCTATATTTTATAAAAAAAAATAAATCTTGGGGTAGAGGATTATTTTTCTCGTTACTTACTGGCCCTTTGATTGGGTAGTAGTTAAGGGGGGAATAAAAAAAGAAGGAGTCATTATTTTTAATATTTAAGAAGGATTTAGGTTATATCTAATTTTAGGAGGGAATGGTTGGTTCATATCGATTTAGCGTATAAAAATATAATGATGCTACATATATGGGTCTATTTTAAAATCCATATTATTTGTGTCTAGAGAGTTATTACGAGATTGAAGATATATATATCTTTCTATATTATTTTTATGTGAAATCTTAAGTAATATGGGCCCGGCTCGGTATATATTTAAATATGTGTTAGAGTCTTTATATGGGCGTGTATATGGGGATACTGTGCTGCAATTATTTAGAAAGTAATTTATTGGAAGATATGTCGAATTGGTAAGGATATAGGGATTCCGAGGAAATATTGGGGAGCTAGTTATCTATCGATCTGTAGAAACCAACTTGACTTGATTGAGTATTCCCTGGGCGGGGCGATTTGCGAGTCAGATTAAGGCTCTTATAAATATTAGGTTTAAGTCGTCTCTATTGAGATGAGGTCGTCCCAACCTCATATGCCGCAGGATTTTTGATTGAATTTGGATAGGTTATGATATTATTTGGGTCTCGAGTTGGTGGTTGAAGGATCGAATATCTCCCTGGATAATGGCTGGTTTTGATCGGTTGCTACTGAATTGGTTCTTGGTCGGGTGTTTGCGAAATCGAGCGTCTGCATGGGGAGTGGCTGGTCTAGATTTGCTGCCACTGATGTGTTTCTTGAGCGAGTATTCGGGAAATGGATTATCTCTATGGGGAATGGCTGGTTTTGATATATTATTTCGGAGCTGATTATATGAATTTGGAGAAAATAGATTTAATTCATCGAAATTAATCTCGATCATATTGCTCTGGATATATGTATCTAGATATATATTCAGAGGATATAGAAATAGAGATATATCTTTATGGGCAATGGCTGGTTGGGTGTATTGATGATGGTATTCATTCGTATCTTGTATAAGTGCTCGCAACTCGGTGTCGTATTATATTCTCAAATATGAAGAAGCTCTTGAAATCCCAGTATCTACGACGTATTCTGACAATCGAGCTGGAGTGATTTGGAGAATATAATCAGCATCTATATTACGGAATTCAAATCTAATCATCTATATTCTTACCACTATGAGATTTCTCAATCCAGAGTGGGCAAGGCACGCGAGATTTTAAGTGCTTGGGGCTGGGGGCGACTTAAATCGAAGACTCGTAGATCTGGCTCCTGACCACTATCTCGCGCAGAACCAAAGTCTAGATCTTTTATAAAACCCAGGTTTTCGTCCTCCAGCTATCTAATTAAACCGTTGCCGCGCGGGCGCTTCTCAAAATGAGCGTCTTTATGGAAAATATTATCTGAGTCTCCAAATCCCTTTCGTAAGATCTATCGGCTTCCACCTATATTTAACGACCTTGGATTACTAGCGTTCAGAAGGGGATATATCAAGTTTGACGGTGTTTGGGCGGTCGATAGCTTCCCCCTGGATCATGCTTCAAAGGCTTGCATTCATTGGGGGGAGGGTCACGGGTCCTGTATTTTTCGACCTTGGATTGCTAGCGGCTAGCGTTCAGAGGCGGAAGCAACAAGTTTGATAATATTTGCGCGGTCGATTACTTCCCATAATATCACTCTTCAAAGACTTGCGTTCACTCGGGAGGAAAGGGACACGGGACCTGACCAAATATAAATATTCAACGACCTTGGATCCCTAGCGTTCAGACGGGGGAGCAACAAGTTTGATAATATTCGGGCGGTCGATGGCTTCCCATTAAATCTTTTTTTTCAATTATTTGCATTTATTCGGGGAAAGGGATATGGGACCGACCAAATGTATGTATTTAACGACCTTGGATTGCTAGCGTTC